AGGTAGAGAAAGCTCTTTCTCTTTAAGTCATATGCAACATGCTAGATAGGATTATGAAGCCCACTTGGTCATTCAAAGCATGAAACCTACATAAATCAGGCGAAATTAACATCATCTTTAACCACCATGTTTGCCTGACCTTTTTGCTTAATCAACGTATTTTTCAATCAGCTGAAGAAAGGAGAGAGAAATTCATTTCCTAGCTCTAAACAAAACCTGAAGCCACAAGCATAATTTCTCTTTCTGTTGAAGATTTCATCAGTGTTTCTCAGCCTAGAGTGTACATCTGTCAGGGGGTGTTTGGTAATGTGTGTGGGTGATATTTGGTATCACATTAAAGTGGGGAGGGCTGCAAGCGCAGGTCAAATGGACGTGTGCTGCGGGGATGCTAAAGTTCTTGTAATGTAAGGAATTATCTCACCCCAAATATACGCATTGATTACTAGCAGACCGCCTGGTTAGAACAGGTGCTCAAGATTGTCTGCCTGCTCCTCCCAGAGCTCTGACAAGCCTTTGTAGTGGTTTCAACTGCCAAGTAAAGGGTAGCAATAAGTAGCTATCGATTGCTTTAATAATAATAGTTTAACTTGTCCTTTTTTCTTCAAAAATTCAAGTTACTTCATATGCATTTGCTTATTAGTAGGTACAAGCTAGATTTTAAAAAGGAAAAACTGCATAAGTTTGCAATAACGAAAGCTCAGTCAGAATTAATACTAAGTCTCTCTTTCCCTGGTTTAATTATCCTTTTAAAAGTAACCAGGAAGATGTGTAAGTTTATTAACCAACCATCAGAAATAAACTGGAAAGTACCCTATCTATACCCGAAATCCTCAGAATGAAATGATAGCCTTTTAACAAATGTGCGCCCCCGATATAAATTTTATTATTTCAATCTGGCAAATATAAGGATTATCTATAATTATGGAAGAGGTACCACCATAAAGCAAAACTATTTGCAATCCGTATTTATTTTTCACATTTTCTTTAGAATAATTAGTATGAAGCAGAATATGTGAGTTTTTATATAAAGAAATCTTTCAATCATGCAATTTTTTTTAAAAAACTCACTTATGCCAATAAGTATCCCACAAAACCAGAAACGCCTGGGCAACTGATATGAAGGGTCGCTGGGTTCAGACCTCAGGGAAGAAGAATCAAGCCTCACTCAGCTGGCTCACCACTGGAAAACTGCTGAGCTCAAGGAACAATGTGGCATTACTGGGGAATTGCCTGGGGACCCTCGAATTGGTTATGCTCCAGTCCTGCTGACAAGCTAAGAGCCTTCTAACAGAAGCAGCAGTCCCCTATATTCTCAATGCTCAAAGTGTAGTCTAAGCACCAGCAGTGTCCTGGGTTCACTGGGAGCTTGTTAGAAATGCAGAATCTCAGGCTCTACCCTGGCACACTGCCTGGGAATCTGCATTTTAACTAGATCACAGGTAATTCTTATACACATGAAAGTTTGAGAAGTAATGCTTCAAAATGTCAAATATATCATATAGATTTTCTGCTATTAAAAAGACTCCAAATTTCCCTGGATATCAATTTTAATTTTTTTTCACAAGTAACACCAATTAGTACAAAAATTCTACAACAGTTTAATAATTTAATAATTATTAAATGCAGATTAATAATTTGCCACAAAAACATATAATGCAAAGATTTTGTCCTTTCTCTGTTAAAAAATTCCCATGCCCAGAACCTAACCACCCACACGCAACACCCCTCGTCCCCACAGGCCAATTTCATCAACATCCCTCAGAGTAGGGTATAATTGTTGAATCTCTCCCCAAGTATTTCAAATGTGCAATTGAGAACCCACTGTTTTGGAAAGCAACATTAGAGCTAAAGTGTATATATAAAACCTCATTAATTGCTCTCCCCAAAAGAAACCATGAATGCATGGCATAATTAATTTTTATATACTAATTTATTTTGTTTACTTAAGGATCACATATTAGCAATTTATATTTAACCTGAAACCAAATGTCTTTCTTTTTTTTTTTTTTTTTTTTTTTTAAAGATGACCGGTAAGGGGAT